ATCACTGGGAAAGATCAGGTACCACCTACTGTCCTATGCCTGGTAGAACAACTGAACAATTACTTAGGACTGCCAGGTTTTTAAATACTTATCAGGTCCTCTAGAAAAGTAAAGCATTCTGAGACAAATAGCAACAAGTTGAGTAAAAACCATGTGTTACCTCACTGGTTTTCCAGTGAACCAAGAAGACATGAAGGTTCTTTGGCAGGCATTTCACTCAGCAGGACAGAACTCCTCTGGAAGACTTACAGGCAAAAATCATAGCTAAGAGTCATCTCCACCAGGAAAACAAGGGGCATCTGCTTGCCAGGCTCCCTCCTGTCTTCAGTGGTTCAAGAGTAAAAAAAACCCACAGAGGAGGATGATTTTCCACACTTCTTATTACCTCAACTTTTCAGTGGTAGCTCAGAAAGCCAGATCCCATGGCCTGTTGCGCAGCACTTCCTCTAAAGTGAGAGCGTGTGTGTGTGTGTATAGTGTGTGTGTGTGTATAGCAAGCTTGTAGATTCTGAAAGACCAAACAGGCTCAGAGTCAATGTGTATTTTAGTCAGCTTGGAGATCTCAATAAGGCTTGCTGACAAAGGCAGGGAAATCAGAGTATGGCCCCAGAGAGATGGTACTGTCACCAAAGAGAAGGTTAAGGAAACTGACACGGTGGCATAAAACCTGAAACTGCATGAAATAACATGGGTACCTTGTAGAAAGGATCATTCATTTGGGGGTAGGGTGAGAAAGCTTTATGAAGATGTGACAGCCGGGTGCCGGTGGCTCACGCCTGTAATCCTAGCTACTCAGGAGGCTGAGATCTGAGGATCACGGTTCAAAGCCAGCCCAGGCAGGAAAGTCCATGAAACTCTTATCTCCAATAAAACCACCAGAAAACCGGAAGTGGCACTGTAGCTCAAGTGGTAGAATGCTCGCCTTGAGCTGAAGAGCTGAGGGACAGTGCTCAGGCCCAGAGTTCAAACCCCACGACCGACAAAAAAAAAAAAAAAAAAAAAAAAAGATGTGGCATATGCAATGAAGGAGATTCACTGAGACAAGAGATATTACAGTCAAACAAACAAAGGCATAAATATGTATAGCCCAATATACTCAGGAAAAGACTGGAATGCAGTCAAGGATCTAGAAAAGTTAGCTCCAAATCAGATATAGGAAACCTTGACATGGGAATGACACTGGAACCTTAAGACACTTAAGATTTCCAAAGGGAAAATAACATGAAAGAGCATGATTTTAGGACAGAATTATGAGCTAAGAGTTTTACTGGAAAGGCATCTTCGATAGGATCCTAGATGGAGACTTTCTTCATAGTAAAGTGTTTGTAACATTATAGGTCCAAATCATGACAGAGCCCTCAACTCAATGGCCTACACTGATGGGACATGATATTTAAAAATAACCAAGGTTGCCAGACTGAGGATAAACCTCCAAAGCAATTCATTTGGAAATTTAAATATTCATTACACTTACTCTCAGGTCTATATCTGTAACCTCTACTCAAACCCATTAAAATATCAGTCAGGAATTGTTTTTTTGGCCAGTCCCAGGGCCTGAACTCTGGGCCTGGGCATGTCCCTCAGTTCTTCAGCTCAAGGCTAGCGCTCTACCACTTGAGCCACAGCGCCACTTCTGGCTTTTTCTGCTTATGTGGTACTGAGGAATCGAACTGAGAGCCTCATGCATGCAAGGCACTGAGCCACCTTCCCAGCCCCAGTAAAGGAATTTTTAAAAGATGAAATTTCCAAAGACGTTGGAGAGATGACAAATGGAAGATGAAAAATGTCAGTAAAGTTTCTGAAGAAAGAAATTTGGAGAGGAAGAAGAAATTTTAAACTGGCAACATTCAACAAATACATATTCATTAAAAAAATAATAGCTCCTAGAAATTAAGAGTAGAGAGCTGGGCATGGTGGTACGCACTTTTAGTCTTAACTACTCAGGAGGCTGAGGCAGTAGGGTCCCTTGGGATGTATGTGTGTAGGGGGGAGGGTTGGAGGCTTACCCCAGTGGTATAGTGCATGCCTAAGGCTCTGAGTTCAATCTCTAGTCCCCCACTGGGGTGAGTGGGAAGACATATCAGAAAAATAAAGCAGAAAAAAAAATTAGAGTAAGAAGTAGAAACTAAGAGAAAAAAATACAATGAATTTAGAGGTATATTTCAGAAAATCCACTACCCAGCTAGAAGTTCCTTGGAAAGAAAATTGTATAAAATGAAAATTTCTCAAAACTTGCCAGACTGAAAGAGCTCACTAAATTATTAATTAAAAACTAGGAAGTGGAGATATGGCTCAAATAGTAGAGCACCAGATGTGAGGAAAAAAGCCAAGCTCAAGCATAAGGCCTTCAAGTCCTAGTACCACTATCAAAGAACAAAACACCAAAACAAATAATAAAAAATGTATGGGGGTAAGGGCTAAAGAAAATATATCAAGAAACCCAAGATAAAGAGGATCCTAAAACTTCAAGGGAAAAATTACATGTCACAATAAAAGCTCTGGAATCGTAACAGCCTAGAATTTCAAAAGCAGCAATAAAATCAATAACAATGGATATGTTTAAAAGTGCCTACCTGCAATCCTATAGTTAATGAAACTATCAATGTAGAGAAAAAATAAAATAAGCCCATTTCAGTTATTCTCAAAAAAATTATATCCCATTCTCCCTTGAAAGGTACTGAAAGGATATTCCACCATATAGGGAAGTAAACCATGAAAGCAGCAGCTATGGGATTCCAGATACAAAATAAAGGGCTCAGAAATCAACAGAATAAAGAGGAATGGAAATCCTAAAACAGAAGCTATGCCCCTGGTCTAGAGAACAGACAATGTAGGTCTCACAAGCTAAGTTGTCTTCCTTCAAAATTCTTGTTTTGATGTTTTAACACCTAGCATTTGAGAATGTAACTGCCCTTGAATATAAAAACGTAAGAATTTTTTTGTTTTGTTTTGTGTCCGGTTGTGGGGCCTGAACTCTGGGCCTGGGCGCTGTCCCTCAGCTCTTCAGCTCAAGGCTAGCGCTCTACCACTTGAGCCACAGCGCCACTTCAGGCTTTTTTTTTGCTTATGTGGTGCTGAGGAATCGAACCCAGGGCCTCATGCATGCAAGGCAAGCGCTCTACCACTGAGCCACCTCTCCTGCCCAAAAACGTAAGAGTTTTAAAAGAGTTAAATAAATGAAAATGGTAATACGAGGGTTGGCCCTCATCTAATATGACTGAGGATGCAGGTCCCCAGTCAGTACAACATTTGTCTAGCATTGGAAGGCCCTGGATTCAATACTTCCATGTGCTAGTGCGCACACACACGCACACGCACACACACACACACACATACACACACAGAGATGTCAGCCATGTATAAGAGACTCTTTAGAGGAAACCAAAAACAATTTTAGTGGTCACTTTAATCTTCTTAGACTCAATACTTCCATGTGCTAGTGCGCGCGCGCGCGCACACACACACACACACACACACACACACACACACACAGATGTCAGCCATGTATAAGAGAAACTTTAGAGGAAACCAAAAACAATTTTAGCGGTCACTTTAATCTTCTTAGACTCTAGAAGTGTGAAAAAGAAATGTTATTTAAGCCACCTAGTCTGTGCAACTCAGCTATGGCAGCTCTAGTAAACTGATGTTGTACCAACAGATTAAAAGGCTCTAGAAATGAGATTTTATGTTATTAGAGATACAGGAGAGAATCAGTGATAGACCCACAGGAAGAGGGGAAAACAAGATGAAGGAAAAAAAATGAGTGAAAAGGGGGATATTAGCAATGAAACACAACTATGATACACTATGACTCATAATGAATAGTATTTTACTTAGTAACACGAACTCCTAATACTGATTTTTAAAAAAGCTGTTAGACAACCATGGTATAGTGTACATACATATCATGAATGAGCTAACTCCTAATCTACCATAGTAGAAATCTGTCAGCAGATAGTACTACAAATTGACAAATCAAGAGGTGGCATATGATTTACACAATGGAAATCAAATACCAGAAGGTAATACAAAAATACTTTGAGAAATGATAATCAGGGTTGAATTTTAAACTATCTATTTTAACTATATGTACATAATAAAAGCCTAAACATACTACTGACATTTTCCCCCACCCCCCATTTTTGTGCTGGTCCTGGGCTTGAACTCAGGGCCTGGGCACTATCCCTGGTTTTTCTTTTTCCTCAAGGCTAGTGCTCAACTACTTAAGCCCTGTCTTCCACAGGTATCTTTAGGGAAAAAAAAAAAAAGGTGGTTAACTGGAGATAAGCCGCACTTCCTTTTCTGCCAAGCTGGCAGCAAATTCTCAGATCTCAGATTCCTGAGTAGCTAGGATTATAGATATGAGCCACCAGCACCTGGCTTAAACATCCTTTAAAAAAGGCAGTTGCTGGTTCCTTGCATCAGAGGCTTTCAACAACATGGTGTGAACACAAGCCAGAGAAGCAGTAAAGAAGTATGCAATATCAAATGGTAGGCTAGTCTGAAAACAAATCAAGTTGATAACTGAATAAGGAGAAATAAAGTTAAGAAAAAACACTGACGGTAACAATATGACAACCCTCTCTCTTGGTAGTATCCTTAGAAGCTGCTTGTCAAGACATTCTTTACAACTGAGACTGGCTGCATCCCTATTTACCCCTGCTTTTTTTTTAATCTTACTCCAATTTCTTCTAATGTGACTGTCCATGATGCTAGGAACAATTCTACAAGAGCAGGCTTATAGTCAGGAAGACATTTTCAACTCTGTTAAATATGGTAAGCAGAGAAAAACCCTAGAAACCATTACTTAAACATACAGAAGCTTGCCTGAGCCAATCAGACACTGGCAAGAGGAATAGATAGGTTAAGAATACTTTCCTAAGGTCAGGTTTTTCATGTTATTCATATAAAAGATAGGACAGGAAGTAACAGTGAAGTAGCACATATTCTATGGTATAAATTCTCAAAATCATAGGCTCAAAAAAATGAATTCAAGTTGCCCAAATGTTCACTAAAGTTTATTGTGTCATGATAAGAGACATTTCCTGAGCAAGCACTATAGTTACAAATAATTAGCACCCCTCCGAAGTAGTATACCTGTGTATACTAGAGAAAAAGCACCACTCCAGTGTGAAAGGCAACTGGAGAAAGATCCCAGAGGGTTATGTTCAAAAGAGGAGCAATATCACCAACAGTATTCTCAGATATAAGAAGCAATTTGTGGTTATATTCTGTTCTTCAAGTGACCTTTATAATCTGTAAAAGTTTTTAAGTTTTCTGGATAGTTCTACCCTGTTGATGACATTTATCCTGACAGGTAAATTATAACTTAATTTACCCAGCATTCTGATTTATCAATTCAATCACTCTCTTGCTCAACTGATAATCCCTAAAATTTTATCTATCACTGTGTTAGATGGCATATCTGGTAATTCAGTGAAAGAAGTTGATCATATTCCAAAAGTGCCAAATTAAAAAATACCTAAAAACAAAAATTAATTACAGTTAGTGATTAAATTCTAAAGAAATAATTGTCTCCAGGAAGATCTTAAGAGAAATTGTGAATAGTTGGGGGGAGGGGTGGTTGGGAGGAGGAGATACCCTTAATGACCATGTCAGTAATAGAACATGACAAACATTAAACATTTCTGTACTTATATCACAAGTCTAGAAGAAAATACGGGGGTGGGGGGGAAGCCAATTAAAAAAACGATTTGCAAAAGAAATGTTAAGTTATTCAGCTCAAAAATATTTCTTTTAGAAAAATTTAAAGTTAAAATGACAAAATTTGTTTAAACTGCTGTTTTTGTATCTATCAGAAAAGAGGTAAATACTAATATTTGAGCACAGAAGAGTAATAGATTTTTAAAAGTTGGCGGGAGGGAAATCTCATTTGACCTGGTTTTATTAAAAGCTGCTCTCTAGCCATCTTCATCCAGCGCGGATGTCCAAGTAGATTGCCAGCACAGCTTAGTATCATTCGGTCCATCCCCAATAGGTTGGGCAGGATAGTCTCTGGTAATTGCTGGAAAACCACTTCTTATTCTGGGCTGGTTGATTGCTATTTGGCTTTACATTCCAAAAGTATCTTCGTTGTGAACAATCTTCTCCAGCAGGCCCAGGAGGAGGCATACGGACTTTCTGGTAAATGTTTTGATTTTGTGAAAATTTTCTTAAACAAAAAATAACAAACCATTATTAAAACTAGCAAAATATATAATCACCTTTACAAAATACATTGCTATTCTGGTTCTACTGTTTTCTATGCTTATGACCATCACAGATAAGTTACTTAAGCTTTCCATCTCTTCTTTATAAAAGACAGCTAACAATATCTTCTTTCTTTAAAGGCAGCTTAACCAAGCCAATGCATAGTAAATCTACAATGCCTTGACACAAATAGTTTCCTGGAGGAGTACATGCTCATACTTCTCTAACATTCCCTCTGGAAGTCTGCCAAAAATGATGTAAGATGGAATAAGCTATTTAATATTGGAAACAGAGAGCTGCTTTTGCTTTAAAATACATAAATTAGGCATACAGAAAAACTCAAGCCACAATACATATAACAAAATTAGACAAAAAGAAAGATCAGTAAATATATATAACCATACAAAAATTTGGAAATTTGATAAAAATAAAACTTAAAAACCCCTCATTCCCATTTAGTCTAATAAAAAAACTGTTGAATCAGTATTAATCTTTTGATTATCACAGTGATCTATCACTATCAATGGTTTATAAAATAAATGTATATGATTACTTAGCTGTATTCTCTATTGTTAAAAATACAACCTATTACCAGTTTCTCTCTTACCACAAATACTTTTGGGATTAACATGTCAGAATATACACAATTATCAGCAGAGCATCTTGCTCACTTACTGAGTGGGACACAATAGGGAGTTTGAGAAATATACTGAATATAATGAATGAGTACAACATTTTCTGTATTTCAAAGGGTTTCCTTAGCCTCAGCAAGAAAGTATCAAGTATTTTTCCTTCTGCTAGTCCTGGGACTTGAACTCAGGGACTGGGAGCTGTCCCTGAGCCTCTTTGTGCTCAAGACTACTACTCTACCATTTGAGCTACAGTGCCACTTATGGCTTTTTCACTTTCCTGCCTGGGCTGGCTTCTAACCGTGATCCTCAATCTCAGCGTCCTGAGTAGCTAGAATTACAGGTGTGAGAGACTGGTGCCTGGCTAAAGTACAAGTATTTTTATGGCTAGTAAAATTGTGTTTCAAAAGGGTTATTCCAATTTTCAGTATCACTAATAACAGCATTTTTTTGAAATGTTCATGTCTTCTGAAAATATTATTATTTTTTCCAGTCAGCCTGAGTGCTGTCCCTGAGCTCCTTTTTTTTTTTGAGGGGGGGGGGGTCTGGTCGTGAGGCCTGAACTCTGGGCCTGGGAGCTGGTTCCTCAGCTCTTCAGCTCAAGGCTAGCGCTCTACCACTTGAGCCACAGTGCCACTTCCAGCTTTTTTTCTTTTTGCTTATGTGGTGCTGAGGAATGGAACCCAGGGCCTCAGGCATGCAAAGCAAGCGCTCTACCACTGAGCCACCTTCCCAGCCCTTGAGCAACTTTTGCTCAAGGCTAGTGCTCTATCACAGCACCACTTCTGGCTTTCTGGTGGTTAATTGGAGATAAGAGTTTTACAGACTTTCTTGCCTGGGCTGGCCTCAAACCATAATCCTTGAATCTTAGTTTCTGAGTAGCTGGGATTACAGGCATGAGCCACTGGTGCCTAGCTATTAACAAATTTTTAAGTGTTCTAAATTGCTTTAACTCATGTAGTAATCAGCAAGAACCCCTATCCAACTGACCTATGGGGAAATTTAGAGAGATTAAGTATCTCACTGAAGATCACATATTGGGTGAATGACAGTATCAGGATTCAAATCTAGGTCTAGCCTGATAACTAACTCACTGAACTAAGAACCAAGAACTGCTACTACATTGGACTAAGGCCAGGTGCGGTGGCTCATGCCTGAAATCTTAGCTACTCAGCAGAAACACAGTTTGAAGCTAGCCCAGACAAAAAGTTCATGAGATCTCATCTCAACCAACAAAAAGCTGGGCATAGGGGCATACACTTGTCATCTCAGCTACACAGGAAGCATAAACAGGAGGATAAGGTCCAAGCCAGACAGCAAAAATGTAAGATCTCTGAAAAATAACTAAAGCAAATAGTAAAGAACTCTATTTTGGTATTGTGATGGTTCATTTTAGAATTTCTATCTTGGTATTTGTAATGGTTCATTGTAGGTATAACTTGACTGGAGTAAAAAGAGCTACTAAAGCATTATTTCTAGGTATGTCTGTTGAGTGTGTTGCTAAACAAACAATAGTGTGTTAAACTGGTCTATTGAGTGGGGAAGATATACCCTCAATGTGGGTAGGTACCAATCAGCTGGCCAGCATTCCAACAGAACAAAAAAATAAGAAAAGGATAATTTGCTCTCTTGCATCTGGGATACCTTTTTCCTGTTCTTGTCCATTAGAATTCCAGGTCTTTGGACTCAAATTTGTACCAACAGTGCCCCCTTTCACTCTTGTCCCTCATCCTAAGGTCTTCGACTTTTGATCTCTGAACTGAGAATTACCAGTTTTTCTAGGCCTGAAGTTTTCTCCTGTGGACTGAACTGCACAACAGGCACCTTTGGGTCTCTAACTGGCCTGCTGTAGTACTTCTCAGTATTCATAATTACATAAGCCAATTCTACCAATAACACCTAACCTGCTTCCTCCTGTTGGTCTGTCTCTCTGAAAAACTCCATAAAATTATTTGAATCAAACCGAGATTTTTCCCATTTCCTAAGTGCGATTTATCTATTCAAATCCTTTGCAAACTGAGCAACAGTGGCTGAGGCTGAGATCTGAAGATCTCAGTTTGAAGCCAGGCAGACAAATCTGAGGTTCTAATTTCTAATTAATCACAAAAATTCCAGAGCAGAACTGTGGCTCAATTGGTACAATGCCAGTCTTGACCAAAAAAGTGAAAGTGCAAAGCCCTTAGGCTCAAGCCCTGGTACTGACACCAAAAACAAACATCTTTTGCAAATGTTACTTTGGAGATTTTATTATTTCAGTTAATTTTCATCAGATCTTTAAATAACTACTTAATTTAATCCAAAAAACTATACTACAATTAGTGGAGCCTAGGAATGTAATGTTCTTTTTCTTTGTGTGGTGGGGAGAGCAGTACTAGGGATCAAACTCAGGGCCTTGTTTGCTAGGCAAGAACTCTACTACTTGGACTTAAGCTATACCAGACATTTTTTTTGCTATTAGTTTCTTTTTCATATAGGGTCTTGTGCTTTTGCCTAGACCAGCCTCACATTGCAATCATCCTATCTCTGCCTCTTGAGTAGTTGTTAAGGCCTGCGGGGGCACAGATCAGCAGTTGTGTTTGCCTATTGCTGTTTCCCCAGCACAGAAAGAAAGACAAAGAACAATTCTTTCTAGTATCCACATCAAATCTTCTGCTTCAACTAAGCTTAAGATTACTGAACATTTCTAAGTCCTTTCTGAGTTGACTCTGAAAAGTCATATTCTCCATCCTCTATTTCACTTTCTAAAATAAAGCAGGATTGTACTTCCTGGTACCATCACATTATCAGTTGGATCATCATCATCATGTATTTTCACTAATGTACCAGGGTAAATTTTACTTCAGTTAATAGAAAAAGGGAAAGCAGAGGTACCGGAATGACTGCTGCACGTTTGGGGTCTGGACATGAAAACGCCGAGGAGGTGCTGGAGGTGCTGCTGGGTAGCCATGGGTCCGATGAAAGTTGTACCTAGGTCCTTGGTTAACAGGCTTGTTAATGGTGTGGACTGGTTCCATGATATGCGCTGACTCTTCAACACCAACTGACCTACATGCACCAGAATTCCAATTCCTCGAAGAGAATAATTCTATATAGTATTACTGGTTTCCAAATTCACTAGGCAATTTAGTGACTATATATATTTGGCCTATGAAGATATCAAGCCCTACCCCATCCCCCAATTCCTATGTATTTAGGTTTCTCCACAAGTGAACAAGCAAGTGAAATATGCAACTTAAATCATATAAAATCTCATTAACCACAAACTCCACACATAAAAGATGAGACTTACTTCCTGATAGGCCCATTTTGAAGATCTTCAATGTAGTTTTGTCTTTCTATGCAATGTCCTCTGCACCTATTGAATACTGAGGAGTTGGGAGTAAATGAACTGTTAGAAATAATCACACAAAAATTAACCTTTCCCAGAGAAAGCAAATCAAACTTGAAACTCATTGACTATTTAAGCTGTTAGATATCACTTTTTCAAGGTACATTCCTTTATAAAGGTTTGGCAAAGGACTACCTAACATTGTTTTATTTCTTTTCTTTTGGTGGTGGGGATCAAATCCAGAAGCTTTACCACTGAGTTACATCCCCAGCCCCAAGTTTCTTTTCTTGTTATTTCCTTTTGTGTGTGTGTGTGTGTGTGTGTGTGTTTATGTGGATATGTGTATCATATTTTGAAACCAATCATATACTTATCAAAATGAGAAATTCCTCTACATTTTCACCACTAGGTTTATAAAAAGGGAAAAATAGTGACAACCCTCATACTTACATTCAATTGCATCATCTGGCCTCATGCCTTCTACATCAATCAAATATCTACCAAAACAACATAATTTGGGTCACTTATTATACAAAAAGAAAAAAAAGATTTTTCAAAAAAGGTCCAACTTCACTTACAAATGGAGACATAAAAATCCTAAGAAAATATCAACATATCTAATCCAACAATTATTTAAAAATGATATGCCATGACCACAAAAAAGCCTGAATCCCAAGAATAAAAAGATGACTCAACGTTAGAAAAAAAATATTAAAAGTCTTACATTAATATAATAATTTAACTAATTAAGAAAATAGATGACCAGACTGGCAGAGGTTTAAAAGGTATCTGAAAAAATTCAAAATCAGAATACTTTGCACACTAAAGACAGAAGACTTCCTTACTATGACAGAGATTTAGAAGTAACCAACAACACACAAAACACAAACTGAGAAAAACATCAACAAATGTAAAAAATACTGTGTAATCAACTATCTGGGCCAGAAAAAGGAGTCACCATCATCATCAGCCATTTTTCCTTACTTGCGTCTTCAGCCTACCACCAACTCTTAACAATGATATTACTTAAATCTCTCTATAATATGATGACATCTTTCCACGAAAATGACCACCACATCTTGGTCTAAGCTATCACTATTACCAACTCCTACGAAAACTTCCTAATTTGATCCCTTACTTCTACCCCTGCAATGTGTTTTCCGCTATATAGTAAAATGATAGGATGAACATGCAATATGGCTATGTTCCACACAATCAACCCTAACACAAAATTTCAATAGCTGTCTATTGTTCTTAAAATCAAGAAAGAAGAGAGAGAAAACTAGAGAGAGAAACTTAAACTTATCTCTGCCTGGTTTAGCTCCCCAAACTTCCAGCTCCATTTTAATGGCATACTTCCCCATGACCCACTTCCTCCAACACCATACATGCTATTCTATTATGGGGTCTGGGCTGTTCTTATGTTCACAATTCTTTCCTGTGTCCCTACCCGCTTAGTACCAATACAATCTCCAACTTTATTTATTCAAATTTCCTTATAGAAACCTCTAGCTTCTTTGATAAGGTTAAATTGGTCCCATGATAGGTCTCATGGTGCCATATCTTTCTCCTCCTTAGCACTGATCAGTTATAACCCTGTATGTATTTTATGATTCTTTCCTATCTGTCCTTCAGAAAGATAGGTTGTGTCTCTTTACTAGTATTCAGTACAGTGCCTACATATGCTAGGTGCCCAATAAATATTTTCTGAATGAATAAACAGGTACCGTGTAGCAATATCCATAAAATTTGTAAGAATGTATACTATTTGGTTCAGTTTGAATAAAATTATCTCTAGGACAATAGCATATGGTATTCAAAGCTGTTCATACAGGAAAGTTCACTATTTTAATGTTTTATATGTCAAAAACTTCTGATTCTATGTTCATTTGTAGGTAAAGGAATACACATCCTTTCATAGTAAAGTAATGCCTGCCACATTGTTATAAATAAACTGAATGCCTAGTATACCACCAACTATATATTATATATATTATATATATGCTTTTTGAAGTTAAAAAAGATAAATACAAACTTATTACATTAATCTCTGGGTCAGAGACCAGACTTTTCAACATCATATATTTCTATACTGAATACATGTTTTTCAACACTCTTACATTACCATTGCAATCACACAAAAACAACTTATAGGCAATCTGCCTTTGGGGTTGAAAACTTACCTGCAGATGAGATAGCCAGTTCTGTTTAAGCCATGGGTGCAGTGGACACCAACAAGTTTGCCTATTAAACAAGAAAGTGAAGTAACTGAAATAGACACATCAAAAATAAGTGATACAATCTGAGGAGTAACATTTTACAAGTTACAACAATATCACTATGCTGAAGAAGAATGGGCTTTTTAGGAAACATGATTATGAAACACCACCACCAAAAAAGCTAATACTTGATGTGTCTAGGTTATTCTGTATATCTTCAATCACACTTAATGACGTAAAACTACAGAAGGCCTTGTCAGGTATTAACAACTAAAACTCATTTGTCTTAATAAAGAATGTCCCTATCAACAATTAATTTAATCATAGAAAAATATGTGAAAAAATTATGAGAAAAAAATTTGCTTCTGAATGAAACAAAGCCAACTTCAATTTTTTTTCTTTCTTCTTTTTTGCAATGTTAGGGACTGAAATGGGGCATCATGCATGCTAGGCAAGTATTCTTCCAATGAGCTTTCAATAACAATCAACTGTGTCCAAACTAGAAAGACAGCAGGAATATCTTAAATATAATGACAAAGCAGAAAGATCTTACATATAATGACAAAGATGCAATTCCACTGGCCCACTAACATTGTATTTTTTTCCTAGGAGATTGCTTCACACCTTACTTTTTCTTGTCTCTTTTAATGCTGAGATCTGAATTTTTTCTGCATTGTTTGTGTTTTTTGGTGTGTGTGTGTGTGTGTATGAGAGAGAGAGAGAGAGAGAGAGAGAGAGAGAGAGAGAGTAAGTGTACTGAGGCTTCAACTCAGAGCCTGGGTGCTTTCCCTGAGCTCTTTTGATCAAGGCTAGCACTCTACCACTTGAGCTACAGCTCCACTTCTGGCTTTGTTTTATTTTTGGTGGTTTGTTGATGATTTCAGCCGACCGTGTAGCTAGGATTACAGGTGTAAGCTACTGGCATCCAGTAATCCTGAAGTATTTAATCACTTCTCAACTGTTAATGAATATGAGACAAAGAAACATTTTAATTTTATTACATCTTCCATTCACAGTTTTAAGCAATGAATGAGCTAATTCAGGTCATTATTTCTCACTAAAATTACTTTTCTAAGGAAGTTGTTTGTATGTGGTCAACAAAAGGAAAAGCACCTTACTTTATTACCACTATCTGATATTTGTATCTTAATAACATTGAAGGTAATTGGCCTAATGTCAGAACTATTAAAAAAAACCAAAATGTTCCAACACCATAAAATGGACACCAAAGTTCAGATAAGGAAAAACTTACCATTGTCTTTATTTTCTTTCAAAAAATCATTAACAGCACATTTAAATTTAAAAATAGTGTTATCATCCGGTATCTGATGCCCAACTGTAAAGATTTTTAAATATGAAACAGATTCTGGCAAATCCTATAAAACAAAACAAAACAAAAAAGTATTATTTGATTTGTAGTTAGAGGAGCCAGAATAAACATCAATAAATTAAACTTAGTATGTCAGCAATGCCTATAAAAGAGCCAATTTTTTCTAAAGCCCCTTCAAATGGAAGTACCATTTAGTTTTCATTAATACTACAGGATAGTCAGTAAGTACATGAATCACACACACACACAGCAATTTATCTATGTGAATGAGTGCATGTACAGATTTATTCTTAACATTTTGTGTTTCAAGGGTTAGTATCTACACAAAGCAGCTATGATTTAATCTGAAGAACTCATGGGGTGGACAAAAGTAAATGTGAGTAAGATACAAAGGTGTTAAGTAAAAATTCTGTAACGTGAGCTAAAATGGAAAATATTAGCATGAATTTATAATGTATTTTACATTACAAATACACACATAGTTTCTAGCTCTGTCCCCAGGAAAAAAATCTAGAAATCATGTCAGCTCAGTAGCCTCTACTGCTTGAATAGTAATCTCTAAGTATCTCACTAACACCAATCAAAGCACCTTGTTAAAGTCACCGATTCTATTTGGAGGAGGAAATGTTCAAGATGACCCTGCAATTTTTTCCATACAAATAGCTAGAAGAGTGACCAAAACAGTAAGATTGTGTCATAAGCTAAAATAAGAAAGTTCCAACTATCTAGAAAGGCTCTTGAATTGTGCCTTACTAAGAAAAACTGAAATGGAATTCATACTGCTGAAAAGAAAAATCAGTTAATTAAATAAAATCAAAGTAACTATTAAAAGGTATTAGGGAACCAATTATTATTTTGAAAACTTAAGAATCATGCCTGTATTCCTGGACAACCTAATGGGGTGAAACTTCTTTAATAAATGAAATAAAAATGATAAAATTCACCTTTTTAAATCTGGCATGGTGATGCACACCTGTAATCTCAGTACTTGGGAGGCCAAGGCAGGAGGAACTTGAATTCAAGGCCAGTCTGAGCTACACATCAAGACCCTGTCACAAAATAGGAAAAAAAAAAAAAAAGAAAAAGAAAAGAAAAAAATAAAGAAAAAAAAGAAAAATAAAGAAAAAAAATCACTTTTTGGAAGTCATGAATGACTGCTAATATCACAGGAAGAGATAAGCCCTCTGATGAGCACATCATCACTTTTGAAATTGTATTGATTACATGTATCAGCATACAGCCTCAGGATGCTAAGTCAGGAGAAACACGTGGGCTTAGGAGTTTAAGACCAGCCTAACCAGCACTGAGAGAACACATCTCAAAATGTAAATATGCTAGGCATCTTGGTGCAAGGCTGCAATCCTAACTACTTGGGAGGCAGAGAGGAAGATTTGGGTTTGACGCTAGCTGGGGGGAAAAAAAGTCCCTACTTTAAAAAAATAAGCTGGGTTTGGGGATACATGCCTATAACCCTAGCTACTCAGGAGGCAGAGGTAGGAGGATCTCAGTCTGGGGTAAAATAAAAAAACTCCCACAAAAACATACAAAAAGTGGTAGAGCACTTGTTTAGCTACTTGAGTGTATCAAGTATGGAGACCTGAGTTCAAACCCATTACTGCCAAACATACATGTATGCACAAATACACATCCTGTCAGAAACGATAATTGAGCCTGAATCTAATCAAGCTAGCCCAACTACCAATCTGCAGAAGTAAAAGGACTGAAAAAATGTATTCACACATGAAGATGCATTATTAAAATCTAGATAGTACAAACAGTACATGATTTCTTAAAAACATAAAATTTAAAGGAAGAAGAGACACAAAGGGGAACCTACAGATTAAAAGAGACTTAAAATTGACATTTTTTGAGATATTTAAAAGACAAACTTTAAACTATTTTGTATTGTTATTATAAAGGTGATGTATAGGGGGTTATGGTTACCTAAGCCAGGTAAAGAGTCCATTTGTTTTTGGACAAGGTCAGTCCTTTCCTTGTTCTCTCCCAGTTTTTCTCTCTCATCCCCACTCACAAGTTGCGTAATTCATTTTCAACATATTGTCTAGTGAGTACCACTGAATTTTTGTGATTTTAAAGGACAATTGCAAATTGAGTACTGACTGGATACCTGATATTTAAAAAACTGTATTAAGGGGAATACGTACTATATCTTAAATATACATCAAAGATGTAGAGATGAAATTATATGGTATCTGAGGTCTGCTTTAAAATAATATAGAATTAGTTGAAATAGGGATACAGACGAAACACAATAGTCATTAGGTGATATTAAAACTGAATGAATTAGTGTGCAGAAAGCACCTATAACATCATGTCAATTTCTGTATATATACATATATATATATATATATATATATATATATATGAGATTTATGATAATGACTGAAAAACAAGATGATAAAAACAGGAGTGTGTTGTTTCTTGTAAGATTAAACAAAACATGGTAATATGGACACTGGAATATTGAGTCATAAGAAAGAGTAAGATTCTGATCATGCTACACAATGAACCTTGAGAAAACATGATTAATGAAATAAGCCAGGCAGAGAAGGAAAATATTACATGATCTACTTGTATAAGGCATCTAAAACAGGCATATTCAGTTAGAAAGTATAGTAGGAAGTTTCTATGAGTTAGGTGGTAGAGGAGGGAGTGAGTTATTGTTGAATGGTTAGTTTTTGTTGAAGATGATGAAAAAGATTTGAGTATAGACAGTGGTAATGGTGACTAAACATCAAATATAGTTCAATTTTTGTCTTTAATCTCTGTTGTGTTTTTTATTCTTTTTCTTTTCTTTTTTTGAGGAGCTGAGGACCAAACTCAGGGCCTTGCACTTGTCAGGCAAGTATTCTTCCACTGAGCTAAATCCCCAACCCCTGATTTTTAAAATGTGAAATAGGACCTTACTAGACCAAGCTGGCCTAAAAGTCACAATCTTCCTTTTCGGCCTTACTGAGTGCTAAGATTACAGGCATTCATCTTCATACACAGCCTCCAATAGTATTTGGGGACAATTAGAACACATGCAACTGCTGGGTACCAGTGGCTCATGCTTGTAATTCTAGCTACTCAGGAGGCTGAGCTCTGGTCCAAAGCCAGCCTAGGCAGGAAAGGCTGTGACACTTATTTCCAACTAACCAGCAAAAAGGTAGAAGTGCAGCTGTGGTTCAAGTGGTAGAGTGCTAGCCTTGAACAAAAAAGCTCAGGGGGGGCTGGGAAGATGGCTCAGTGGTAGAGCGCTTGCCTTCCATGCCTGAGGCCCTGGGTTCAATTCCTCAGCACCACATAAGCAAAAAGAAAAAAAGCCTGAAGTGGTGCTATGGCTTAAGTGGTAGAGCGCTAGCCTTGAGCTGAAGAGCTGAGGGACAGCGCCCAGGCCCAGAGTTTAGGCCCCACAAGCAGACCTCCCCCCCCCAAAAAAAGAAAGCTCAGGGACAGCATATAGGCCTCAAGCTCAAGCCCCAGGACCATCACAAAAACAAAACAACAAAAATACGTATATTTGTTTTTAAATTATCACTACCCATGAAAGAAGGTCAGGCTTTACATCAGCACAAGATAAAAATGACTTAGTTACTGTGAATTATTTTAGTATCAAAATGAAGAAAATTCTTCATTAAAGGTTCTTTTACCTCTGGTTTATAATATCGCCGAGTATATGTTAAATCAATAATCAAGCCAAGCTCTTCATTTTGTTCCTGGATTTTGTTAAACAGATCCAAAGGGGAAAAGTATTCTTCTGGAGCAAGATTCACTTCAAACTTCTATCAGAAAATGAAATAAGAGAAGGTAAATGTGTGTTTAAGATCCCCTATGATATTATGTATTTCTTTAAACCCTAGGCTGCTAACTGACTGAGATACAATGAGATTCAAAGTTAACTTTTCATTCTTCTGGAAGCTGTATTTCAAATTTCTTTGCCAGCAATCAAAATGAAGAGGAAAAGCTCACTTGATATATTCATTTCTGTGTCTGTGCCCCCCCCCCCCCCCCGCTCCTGATTTGGAAATGTCTTGGTCAACATTAATTTAGGGGAAAAAGTGTCCCTATTTATCTAAACTTCAGAACCTACCTCTATTTCACAAATACAAATAGAAAGGGGATTTGTTTTTGTTTTTATCTTTATTGAAAAGGTGATGGGGGGATGGTGTTACAGTTACATAAGTAATGTGCACATTTGTTTTTAAACACTGTCCCCCATCCAGGATTTTTTTAAATGTATATTAACTTTTCCAGACAATAATCACTTTATAAACAAAGTGGAGAACATATTTCTTTCTCTTGTAGCGTAGTCATAATCACACATTTCTATATTAAAATACTACTTTATTATATATTTTATATTATATTGACTTTTCTTCTTTAAAATTATGTATGGAAACTAGTTCTGTTTATTTGTGAATTTCATTTTAGGAAGGCTGAAAGATATTACCAAGTATTTGGCACATAGAGGGAAATGGAGTAAGACAGGGTTAAGAATCAGTGTTCTACATGATGAATTCACATTTTTGAAACAATACTGAATTAACTTTTTCTTACCTTTTGCAAAGGTACTTTGAAAGCAATAAAACGAGTCCCAGGCATCCGACGTCCAACTGGTAAATAGTCTTTCCACCTATTATATACCATCATATTAGCCAAATAGCATGTTAATCATGACTCCTTCCACAGAACATAGACTCCTTGAAACTGTGAAACAACCCACATAATCCACCCTCTGCTTTGCATTTTTTCCACTCAGTCAACTCCTCCTAGTAATAACCTATTCTTTCTTTGTTCTTGTTTCCCTATTTGGAATACAAATATAATTCAACAAAACAGTTAAAAGGGCCTTACAATCAGGGTATCTAAAATCAGGGGTTTTGAATGAAAACTTCTGTATCCCTGATTTAACCTAGCCCAGTATCTGATGTTAAGGTGTAATCAATGCATGTATATTAAAATAGTTTAAACTTGTTCTCCCCTTCCCCCGGGTTTTTAGTCTTCATACAACTGATACTATCCGATTCAATGAGTAGAAAGCTTGAAGTTCATATATGAAGAGAGTTGAAATCTGACAGAAAGGGACTGTGGACTTCTCTAGATAATGCTAGGAGTTAAGGAAAAGAGTAATACTGGACCTGGCTTCTGTGGGATGGGTTAGAATTTACTAAGGCCATTCCATGTATTTAAAGCATAGAAACTGTGGGCAATAGCCACAAAAGTTGGGGCTGGGGAAGAAGAGAGACTCCCAGACTATGGACACAGGCCATGAGAAGCTTCTTTTCATTCTCAAAGCAATGTTTCACGGTAAAGTTCATGAGTCATCTTTTAATTCCAATCCAATTTTAATTTTAAATAATTACCAATGTAAAAAACTTCTTGTGGGCTGGGAAGGTGGCTCAGTGGTAGAGCGCTTGCCTTGCATGCTCGAGGCTCTGGGTTTCATTCCTCAGCACCACATAAGCAAAAAGAAAAAAGCCGGAAGTGGCAGTGTCTCAAGTGGTAGAGCGCTAGCCTTGAGCTGAAGAGCTGAGGGACAGTGCCCAGGCCCAGAGTTCAGGCCCCACGACCGCACCCCCCACCCCACCCCCAAAAAAACTTCTTGTGTGAGAAATGGATTCGAAAGGCAGAATATACATACATGGCCACTGTTAGTATACAAGTGCAACAGATCTGCATTAGGATGCTGAAGGAGAACAGAAAGAAGACTCAAAAGCGACTTAGAAGATAAAATGAAGAGGACTGAACTGAAGTATGAGAGGGGGAGGATCGCTTCAAAAGTACAAGGATTCACTGTAAAGTTTCAAAAGCAAAGTCTCATAAGCAGTCTCAAAACTAACCATCTGAATGTATAGAGGACCACCTCTCAAAAGACATACGTAAAGAAGCACCAGTTTGCCTTCCGTGACTCCTGGAAACAATGCCAAACCAACTTTCCATGGACTATCCCAGGCCGGAACTGGGAAGTCCTTTCAAACTTAAGACCGATGACTCGCATTTTCTGTGCCAAAATAACGTAAACTTGGAGAAAGGGGGCTGGGGGTGAGGGGCCACTTTGGTAATTAAGTAGTGTCCCGGTGCTAACAGTTCCGCCTCCAAGCAGTCCTTCTGCATTTTATCCACAGGACCAAGGGAAGAGCCTATCTTAGATCGCCCAACACCAAGGGCACTCTTGATCCCAGCTGCTGTGACAGGGCCGGCCGGAAAGCGGGGCGGCCGGGAGGGGCGCGCGGGGCCGGCAGCGCGGGGCCGGGCCCGGCCGGGGCGCAGACGCCGCTCCCAGCGCGGCCCGGCAGGAAAGCGCGTTACCTTTCCGGGACTTGGTTTCCGCCCTTCTTCTGGGCTGGGGGACGACCTGAAAAGTCGCGTCCCCGACCCCAGCCACCGCGGGCGTGATGACACGTGTTCATGTGGCCACCAAGCTGTCTCCCGCCCAGTGCCAAGCGGACCAAAGCCGTGCTGGCGGCGACCTCCGCGACACAACGAGAAGCTGGATGTCGAGAAGCTGAATACAAAGAACCCGGAAAGCCGCTCCAGCTAGTGCGCATGCGCCGTCGCCCGGCGTATGACGACAGCAGGTCGGCTTCCGGAGACCCCAAATTTATAGGAAACTGGACTTTGGGAACTACTGCGCCCTCTTTAGCTAGAGACCGGAAGTGCATGTCTAGGGCGTTTCGTTTTGTTTTTGTTTTTGTATCTAGAAGTTTGTGCATGCACCTTCACACCTCAAATTGTATGACAACTAACAAGTGCCACTGATCCCTGGCTCCTCGTTTTTCAGTGTTCCCAAAATGTATATATCTAACATGTTACATATTATAATATATGCTATGTTATAGAAATAATATAAAACATTGGGCTAGGAAGGTGTCTCAGTGGTAGAGCGCTTGCCTTGCATGCATGAGGCCCTGGGTTCGATTCCTCAGCACCACATAAGCAAAAAGAAAAAAGCCGGAAGTGGCGCTGTGGC